TACCTTCATTTTCGTGACAACCTCACCCGTGATGAAGTGTGAGCCGAGTTTCACGCTCTAATCGCCTCACCATTTTCGGCTGGTCGATGGCGATTGAAAGGTGCGTTTGAAATATCGCTCGAAGCGGTTTTGAGGTGAGGGTAAATTTATTAATGCCGTAGAATAACTAGGGTTACCTCAGACTACGTGATGAATATAGTTAGTCTGGTGGTAATCAGTGATACCGTGCCGTGATTCCTGACACTATCGAATTTCACAGTCGCTAAAACCTTTTCAGTAAACTGCCCAGCAAAAGTAATCCTTTTGTCGGTGTCATTATCTGATTACCTCCTTTCCTTTGTATAGGTCGGGTTTAGGCAGTCGTTAGGGACGGTGAGTTAGTGGTTAGAATAGACAGAGAGAGAGGAATGCTATATTTAGAATGGAAAATCCTAAACTTTCAGCAAAAATGGCTTCATTCACGGAGAAAGGATAAGGTAGATAAGGGGTCATGGCAAAAGGTAATAGGTCATGTTGTACTCAAAATTAAAGTTTTACACGATATCCAAATCTACTATGGAGACAGGTCAGCTTTCAACTTTTCAATTTCCGCGTACAGGACTGTATTCGAAGCGGGTGGCGGCCTGTTTTGGCAGTATAACGCGATAACACAGCTGTCTGTGAACAGATGAATTGTAAACATTTTTTGTCTGCTTCGGCTTTCGTGGGAACATTTTTAAGATCCGAGTGCAGATACGCGTTGCAGACTCTGTCACCCGCCTAGAGTTCTTGACAAGTTAAAATCTTAACTAGTTGACCAGAACTCGGCATAAAAAGGTCGGTGTTCCAGTACTATTGGGGCTGGTCCTTTTCTTAAATTTTGGCATTTACACTATGCTCGTGTTTTGTCCTTGTAGGGCGTAATTTCGGACGAGGACTTACCGTTGCACTTTAAGTAAGTACCTTTGGTCTGCTTTTTTGATACTCTTCTGTTTCAGAAAACTGCAAAATCTAGACGGAAAGACATTTGAACAGTGCCTCGAAAGCACACCACAGTTCCGCAACCCAGATGGCCTACGAGTCCTCTGTTCTCGGTTCGGAATCCCACGTGCATCGGCCTGTAGTCTTCTCCTCTCAATGTCTAAGTAAGTAACGGGGTTCCAGTTTAACTGCACATTGCTTCTCAAAGAAAGTTTAGTTGGTTATTTACATATTTACTCGTTCCTGTCGTGTTTTTTTGCAGAATCAATCTTCCAAAGCCAGAGATGGCCTGCGAACTACGACGTGTTCAGCTCTACAACCTGTCAATGAAACAGTTAGTTT